TTTAACGTCTGAAAAATCGTTCTAATTAAATGGGTTGATAATGAGACGTGTTAGAATTAATTTTGTTGAGTTATATTAGGAGTGTATCACGCTAATTGATCCTATTTCCGTTATTAGACAGCTGGACAAACCTAATTTTAAGGTGTTTGTCGTTATTGTATTCATGAATACATGGCGCGAATACATGTGAATATAGTCGCGTACAGCTGGACTTCCCTGTTTTTTGGCGATTTTTGCAATACAGCGAATACACTACTGTAACAATTAAATAGTAACTATAGGAAATAATTATGTATATGGTAGCTATAGGAAGTTAATAGCCACTAAGCAATAGTGGTTTCTGAAACAGCTGGACTTCCCTATTTTTAGGTGATTTCTGCTACTATATTCATGAATACAGTAGCGCGAATGTAGCCAATACACTACCATAACAACTAATTAGTTGCAATACGAAGTAATTATGTATATGGTAGCTATAGGAAGTTAATAGCCACTAAACAATAGTGGTTTCAGAAAATTGTTCTTTAGCATTTTCCAATGGTTATACCAATCGCATACAACATTAGGAAGGGAAAATGACAATGTATAGCCGCTCTTAAAATAATAGCCGCAATATATATATATATATATATATATATATATATATATATATATATATATATACTACCATACCGGATGTAAATAATTTCAACCGCGGGCTAAAAGTGATCTTTGCATATTAAAAATAGCATAAATTAATTACAGGAATTCTTTTAATGCACTATTGAGGTAGGAGTAATTAAAAAAATTATTATCACATGAGACATCTCAAGCAATAAAATGAGAGCAAAATAATTAAATAACAATCTAAACTTGACAAACTAAGTAACAAAACAAAAAAACTATACTATCGCCTTTTTTTCATCAATATAATAACACTTTAATAATCTAGTTGCATGTATCTTAGCTCCGGTTTGGCCATTAAATTTGATTTGATTTTTTAAAAAAAAAAATTGAAAAAATTGTTTGTTTATAAAATATTATCCTGTTTCGAGAAAAAAAAATTCAAAAATTTTCAAGCTCCCAAAAACTGATTTAAGGTAGTTTTTTGGTGAAACTTTTTTTTTTTCACTCACAAAACTTCAACTTTTCTTCAAATAAAATGCATGTCCAAACACAATTTCGACTTGCAAAAATTATTTTTTAACACAACTTCAAAAACTCTTTTCTAATTTCAATCAAATTTATGTCCAAAAGCCAGCTTAATGTCACTGAACACGTGATTGCCATGCCACGAATATACTCATTTTGTAGATTAATTTGTTTACGTAAATGTCTTTATCCTCTTTTACTTTTAAATTAATTAGCCATAAATTCTGAAAATCTGCGCCGTACCATTTTACTTTTATTTCTTTATTTCAAAAAAAGGACAGCTAAACGGATAAAATTAAAGAAGTTTATTGTTTAATCCAGTGGCTTAAACAGTGCAATGAATATGGAAATATTTCAAAAATTGTAGTCTCAAAGTGGTCCATGAATATCTATTTATAGTAGCCACCCCTTGTGTTAATTAGTAAGAGTTAAGCTAGAGTACATAAATAAAATATATTTTACAGTATAGATTATTAACAAATGCAAGCAAAAGGATGGCCGGTGGCTTAAATGTATAACGAATATCCTTGATTAATAAATTTTAATTCTTGCATTAATTTAATCATAGATCCTCCACGTGTATTTTTAGACTATCGTATTTTACTTTCCTCAAATTAAAAAAGAGGGCTTAATTGGCTGTTTTTGGACCTTCAAGCTATCCTAAATTAAAAATTACTTTGTATTATGTCAAGCTCTATAGATGCAATGTACAAATACATTCTTTTACAAAAAGTATTATTTATACATATAAAATATATTTGTGTTGTGTATTCGCTACAGGTATCATGTTCCTTTTTACGTATAATTTATAGCCTGTTTCGCCAAGTTTCTAAAATCAGTTTATCTCGAAAAGTGTTTTTTTTTTCAAATTGCTTTTCAAAAAAGTATTTTTGTTGGGAAGCAATTTGTGTTTGACTATTTAATTTGAAAATCACTTCTGAGCATCAGCTAGAATTAGACCAAGCTTTTAAAAAATATTTTTAAGTGTATTTTTCTCAAAAGTGCTTTTCCAAAAAGTGTTTGTGGGGAGAATTCTACATTTTTCCTCTTGTATTTCTACTCAAAAGCACGTTTTTCTTCTAAAAGCTTGGCGGAACAACTTAACTTTGAAAAAAAAAATCATTTTGGCCCAAAATATATTACCCTGGGTCACATAGATAATTTGCAAAGTTCCCAAATATGTCTTCCACCGTGGCCTCTTGGCTATCTTCATTCATATCCAGGGTGGAGCTAGAGTACTGAGAGCATGTTCGGCCGAATCCAGTAGCTTTGGTTCGAATCCTGTATTTGTCTTAAAATTTTTATTGAATTTTGCATACGTGTAAATTATTAATTTAAAACTCAATAACTTAAAATGTTTAGAATTCCGAATTCATAACCATGAAATCCTGGCTTCACCTCTATTCATAACTATCACTATACTTAATAAGCTTTATAAAAAGAAGGGTACTAAGCATAGAGTAGGATTCACACATTTATTGAATCATAAATACTCCCTATAGAAAAAGGCTTGAAGGGAATTATTCTACTAATTTATAAATTATATAGCCCTCAATAGCATAACTGCATAGTGCCTATTCACATATCTACTTTAACGAGACACCACAAACGATAGTTGGCTAAATTTCTATAGATAAAGAATAGACAACTAGCCGATTGAAGAACTTAGCCTTTTCAGACGGAGCCTAGTTATTTAATTAGGGCTTTGCATGTTGTATTTAATTATATTAAAAGTTAAAATTTTATACACTGACAATATAAAAGAGATTTATGTTATTAATGTATGTATTTTGAATCTTTATACTATTAATGATACATGAGTATTAGGGATGTACATGGATCGGGTTGGTCAATCGGTTTGGATTGGTTCGGCTTTGTCGGGTTTTTCGAGTTTTCGGGTCTTTTTGTTACATGAATATTATTTCAATCTTATTTTGTTAAATTATAGATAAAGCTTCGATAAATGAATATATGTTAAGTAAATATGGAAAATATTGACAAATATATGATCTATTAAAATATTCTAATGGGAGAATTTTTTTAGTAACACATGATAGTTATTTTCTTAGTCGTCTAACAATAATTTTTCGTTAATTTACGCTTTCAAGGTTAATACATGAGAGGATCCCAAATATTTCTACATTTCCTAAAAAAAATTCACTATAAAGTCTTAAAAATATAAATAAAATTTATATATTTATATGTCGCTTTGGTTCGGGTTTTTTTACTCAATACCAAACCAAGTCAAACCAAACCTAGTCGGATTTTTTAAATCGGTTTGGTTTGATTTTTCGGTTTGGTGCGGTCCCGGTTCGGTTTGAACATCCCTAATGAGTATATACGATAATACTAGATCTAATCGACGAATAACATGTTTTTTTTTAATTAATCAGGGGAGGGAGAGGATGGAAAAAAGGGGAGAAGGAGCAGCGTGTTAGGTGTTTGCCATAATTTTCTTACCATATTTGATTTTCCTATCTCTTGAAGGAAAAGGGCAATATAATTACCTTAACTGGGTTTCCTTTTTGTAAAAGAAAATTATAAATCTTCAATATTTGGCTAGTCCTTTTTCTTGTAGGAAAAGGTTTGAACTTATATAAATTGAGGATCCTTCTTTCACATTCAGTAGCATCCACAATGTAGCCATAGGGGGCTTGAGAGTCTTGTTTAGGGGGAGAATTTTACGGGACAAGTGTTAGTGTGTCACTTGTGTTTGCCTCTTCGTGAGGTTGTTCTTTCGATATTTTGTACTCTCTTTTATTATAGTGGATTGCTCATCTCCGCCGTGGACGTAGGTCAGTTGACCGAACCACGTTAAATGTTTGTGTCTCTTTTGGTAGATTTCTCCTTTGTTGTTGGATTTATTGTCGCTCAAGGTTTGCTATGCTTGCTTCCGCATAACACCTGATTTTTTCGATCCTAACACAGAGGAGGGGCCAAGATTTGAAGCTTAGGGGTTCAGAATTTTAGTCGATTTAAGTTAATGGGGTTCTAAATTAATAATTTGTACATATTCAGTGAATTTTCTAAGACAAATACATAATCTGAACTAAAATAACCGAGTTCAGTCGAAACTGTAACTTATACATTGGTTTCGCCTCTAAGAAGGGAAGGGGGTAAAGATAAAAGGGATACTACGCCTACATATGGGGTTTGATGAGCATGAGCATGGACGATCCAAAGAGTACGATCAAGTTCAAGATGAGTACGACCGTCATTATATGCTATTTCAACCTTAAATTGTTTCAATTTTATTTTCCAATCCGAAAATTTGGGTTTTTGCCAATAAATATATATTTTATCTTAGATTAACGGGAAACGACAAGATATCATCAATCTTGTTTTCTTTCTTTTTTCTTTCCTTCTTTTTTTGGGTCAAATTCTCCAAATGTTTTAGCTGTTAATTAAAGTTAATTGCTAACTATAACCATGTCTCTAGTTCATCGTAAAACTTTAAAAAAATATCATAAAGTTTCAATTTCAAATGTTAGTGGACATCCTATTCCATTTTCAAACAAGGAATTTAGGAAATTAACGAATTAAGAAAAAATGAAGTTAGAAAGTCAGCAAAACCATGACAACTTGCTTGGTGGGTGTAAGAAGGGAAAATAAATGTAAATATATTAATTTTTGTGGGATTAATATTAAAATTTATAGTCATATGGACAAAGTCAAAAGTGCTAAAACGAGTTTAAGTCATTAAGTGTAATTAATTAACATACTATTACGGCTTTGTGAGATATTAATTAAATACAAGTTTCTTCTTCTTTCCCATCTTATTCCACGTTTAACTCACCATTTTTCAAACTTCTCTCTCTTTCTATTGTGTCTATATAAACCCTCATCACTTCCTTTATCTCCTTGTGAACAAATTGATACATCTCTTTCTCTTTCTCTCTCTAAAAGTATCTATCTCTCTATACATAAAACAAGAAATCCATCAAAATACCTTTTTGTATCAATCAATCAGTTTCTCCATTTACAGAAAATATTTCATATTGATGGATCACCATGTTAATGAAGATAATATGGACCTCAAAAGAGGTTCATGGACTGTTGAAGAAGATTTTACTCTTATAAATCACATCGCTCTTCATGGCGAAGGCCGTTGGAATTCCCTCGCTCGATGTGCTGGTAAATTTCTATACACTAAAAGAATTTTTAAATTTTTTTTTTGTGTGTGTGCGCGAGCGCTTAACCAATAGCTAGGTTGGATTGTTCATGTGGAGATAAAGATTGATTTTTGGTGTGGTTGATAAATTCTTTTTCTACTAAGTAATCTTTTCTTTTTGGTAGTATTAGTTATACTCCGCTAAATAATATGTTGATGGAATAAAATAACAGGTTTGAAAAGAACGGGGAAAAGCTGCAGATTGAGATGGCTTAATTATCTTCGACCAGATGTTCGACGAGGAAATATTACTCTTGAAGAACAACTCTTGATTCTTGAACTTCATTCTCGTTGGGGCAATCGGTATGTTAGACTTATAATATTTTTCACGTCATTTTAAATATGTAAATTTTATTTCAATTTTTATTTTGAAGAATCTATATCTCAACCGATTCCACGCCTTTGTACTATGAACCTTTCATAAAAAAATGAGACAAAGCGAGTAATATTTTTTCAAGTGCAAACAATAATAGCTATGAGTCAATCCGAACCAAGTTGAAATTGACTATATCATGAATTGTTACTGTCTATATTACTCTATTTTAATATGTCTCAATCTTATATTATTTAATTTGAGTGCAGGTGGTCCAAAATTGCTCAACATTTGCCAGGAAGAACTGATAATGAGATCAAGAACTACTGGAGAACTCGAGTGCAAAAGCATGCTAAACAGCTAAAATGTGATGTCAATAGCAAACAATTCAAAGATACAATACGTTATCTTTGGATGCCAAGGCTTGTTGAAAGAATTCAAGCTTCTTCCAACTCCGCCGCCACCACCTCCATCACCACCACCAACAACAGTAACAACAACAATAATAATCATGCAAGTACGAGTGTCACGCAGGAATATTCGACTGTGACAGCTTCATCAGAAAATTCAATGGGGACACAAGTTTCACCAGTTTCTGACATGTCTGATTGTTGCTACAATAATTACCCTATTAATCAAAGTGATTATGGGGAATTATTGATTAGCCCCACAGGTTACTTTCAACATGGTGCATTAGACTTTAGAACAGTGGATTATAATAATCAGCAAAACATGAGCCAATGGATGGAGGGTACAGAAGATGTTTCAGACAATTTGTGGAATATTGAGGACATGTTGTTTTTACAGCAGCAACTCAACAATTAATGATGTCTGAGGTTTAAACAACATTAGAGTTAACTGAAGTGTAGAAATAAAAAATTAGGGTTATTACTCATTATAATTCACCAAAAGACAGGAATTTTTCTTTTTTCTTTTTTGTGAGATATATATTTGCTAGCCTTTGTGAAGAGATATTATATACATGCAGAAGTAATCTGCATGTAATACAATCTTAGAATTTATTTTTCTTTTTTGTAGTTAAGGGTTTGAAAGGATTTGTAACATTTAATTTGCTTCTTGTAAACTTTTATTCTTTAAATGGAAACTTTCTTTTATGAGTGCAGAGGCGGACCGACCCTTTGGGTAGAGAGATTATCGGACCCCAGTAATTTCAGTATATATATATATATATATATATATATATATATATATATATGTATCTTAGTATATATGTTAGTTGATGCCCTAAGATTCAAATCTTCGACAGTTGCGTTAGCCGATTTGAGGGGCACATCTTGATTTTAATAGACTGTGTGAGTTTGATTCCGACTCTATCATTTGCTCAAAGTGTTATTGGACAATGGTGCCCCCTCCTTTCGAATTCTGAGTCTGTCTCTGCGCGTGCTATATATTGTGCTTACATTTTTCCAAGCTTTAACCATACTCTAAGGGATTGTTTGGTTGGGAACCAAGTTATCCCATGATTAATTATCTCGGAATTAGCTATCTCACCCTTCCATAGGGATAAAAAAAAAATACTACAATCCAGGGATTAATTATTCTCGATTTTGTTCCAACCAAACGTGGGATAAACTCATCTCAAATTTAATCTCGGGACTAATTATTCCTTATTTCTCGTATCAATGAGCCCTAACTGTATACTGATTTTCTCAAGTCTTCATCTTGTTTTCTTTTAATAATAAACTTAATTATGATTGCATTAAAAGAAGAGAATAAAGAGAGAAAAAAGTTATTACTGTAAAATGAATATAATAATCTCGAAAGAGGGTATAATTGGTTTCACTATATATGTTTACTAATAACATGTCGTTGTTGCTTGTTATTCTAATCTTGGACTCAAGTCATGGAATTTTAGAAATTAATTAATTAAAACATAGTCTATGGGGCGTGAATCAGATTACAAGTGGAGTATTAAAAAGATAGACGCTTGTCATTATTCTAGAATCTGCAAAAGGAGAAAAAAGTACACATAAGAAGAAGTGGAAATATTCTAAAATTCTATACTCCATATATTATTTATAAAAAAACTAATTTCCAGTTGTTGCCGTCAGGAGCGGAGCGAGAATTCTAGTTATAAGTTCAGCATAACTTTATAATTATATTAAAGAATTTATTTAATATGTATATATATTTATTCATATTCTAATAAGTTGCCTTTTTTGAAATTTAAAATCGATAATTCAAATTCTGGATCCGCATTTAACTGCAATTCTCTTATTAATGTAGTGTCTCCCCCATACTGTAGTCTTATCATAATATCGTGTGAATGCTACCTTAGTGGCTTCAAATGTCACTAATGACTAATTTATGAGAATATTTTAAGAACAAATCTCAAATTTGTTTCTGATTTGGCCTTATTTTTCTGCTGTCGTACAAACAAAGTCTCTTTGGATTTATTTTTATTTAATTAGCTTTAGGCCAATAAAATCAGCTTTTCCAATAAAATACGGCATGATGATTCGCGGCAACATAGTACTTCATATCAGATTTGTGCCAATTCAACAATCACATACTGTCCTTATCAATAGTGGCGGAGTCGGATTTTTCACCGAAGTGTATTAAAATATAAAAAATTAAATACATCGAAAATTTAAGGGAAGTTAAACGTATAGTAAATATGCATGAAATAAAAACTATTATCTATTAATACAATGTAATTTTTCGACAAAGGGGTGTCATGAAATAAAGTCACATGACTTTCTCACAACTTCGTTCGGTGCGTTTTTCCATCTTTAGCAGTTTTATATTAATCGGTTTCATTCTGATCGATCAGTCCAAATAGTTAGCTTGGGCGCTAATATATTATTATTTTTAATTGGCAAGCTCACACGAGCGAAATTTACACATATAAAACTACAAATAATTAAAAAAGGAAATAGGAATATTTGTACTACAGGTGCCTTGTTGCAAGAAGCCATCAAAGTGGTCCCAAAATTAAAAGAGGTGTTATTGTTATGAAATATCCACGTAAAGTATACCTATTAGTAGGTTTCCTAACAAAAGCAGCCATAGGCCATATCTGCAAATTAAATCTTTAAATCTTTACCGGCTCCTCTCAATCCTTTCTACCCTCTCGCCACGTATACATTTTTCATATGTATTTTAATTGGTGTAGCGGAAAGGACTGCTTCTCCCTTAACCAGAGGTCATGGGTTCGAGCCCCGAATTTGGGGAGCGCTTCCCCCGGAATAGAGCCCTATCCGACGTGAATCCGAATATAATCGGGCTCCAATACAAGTACCGAACATCGGGTGAGAAATATAAAAAAAAAAATACATGACACATAACTTCATAAAAATAATTATTACTAAATTATAATTAAATTATATATTTTTACCTTAATTTATTATCCAAGGTCCATATTAATCCTCACCTCACCAATTAGTATGAATTGGTGAAATTATTCGATGTGAATAAGTTTTTATATTGTCTGGGAAAGTATTTACTGACATTGATATTATTATGTATTTTAGCATAATTTATTAGTAAATTATAAGAAATTAATATGGTTTGTTCATTTACAAAGTCTATGTAATTTTTCTCATGGCTATCCCGTAGCTTCCAGAGAACCCATCCTTTACTTTATTTCATTTTCACTCTAAAAAGGTTAGTGCAAATGAAGTTGGAGTTCTTTTACTCTCTTTCCCCTCCCCCAACCCCTCAAAAAATAAAATAAAAAGAGAACTACAACTACCCGTATAATAATTTCATTATTGGCATTAAGAGATTAAATGGACACCATTTTTTATTATATAACAATAGTCCTCAGCCTAAATATATCATATAACATATACTAGTAATTAATTAAGATATATAATTAAGCTAGAAGATAACTTACGGGTTCAATCGAACCCAGTGTGTGCCCTAAAATTTATATTTATGTAAAATTTACTAAATATCTATAAATTTTAAATTTAGAATTCAGTTATTAGTATTTAAAGTTGTCTTAGAATTTATAAGCAATAAAGTTTAAATACTGAATCTGCTCTTAATTGGTATGCTTCTCTTAATTCGTAATGCTCTCTCACAACAACAATAACAACAACCCACTAAAATTCCACTAGTAGGATCTGGTGAGGGTAATGCGTACGCAGACCTTATCCCTACCTCGAGGGAGTAGAGAGGTTGTTTCCGAAAAACTCTCTTTTCAAGAAGACGAAAAGAAACAATATATCAATATCATCAATAGATACCATAGGAATAATAACAGTATCATAAAGACCAGAAATTAGATGACAAGCAAAAGCAATAGCTAGTAAATAAACCCGGTACTATGAGAACAAAAGAGTAGTGACAACACAACATTAACCACTAGCGATCAAAGACAAAAATTCTTAATGCTCTCTCATTTATCTCAAAAATCCATTGCGTGAAGGTATTTGTTGAAAGGGAACTTACGAAGAATACATTTTCTTGTTCAAACCTCATAACCACAAGTTGTAATGTGGTAAAGAAAAGGTATTATCTATCATCACTAATTCCAATTTTTTGGGGGTTTCTGGTTTGACATAGAATTCTTTTCCAACCCGTAATAGATATTGGAATTTTTATCATACCATTTCCACTAATAGAAAGAACATCTTTGTCTCCACAGTGTTATTAGGACACTCTACTTTTTTCTATCCGATGTTTGATACCTGCATTGAAACTCGATTAATATGGATCGTGGGAATAATTACGTATAACACATATTCTTATTATGCCAAACACGCTATTATGCCCATCTCGTGACATTTTTATTCATTTTTTTGCTAATCAGAAAAGTTTATTATTAAGCAGAAAATTAAGAAGTGTTATTACAATATGAGACTGATCTTAACGTTGTAATCCCTAAAAAGTCTTTGCGTTAAGAAAACAAATAGAGGTGGTTCACTCCTAAAATAGTCTTCGCGCTCAGCATAAGTATGTGAGTCCAGGTGCTTCCATATTTAGCCAATGTATGTGCCACTTGGTTCCCTTCACGATAGATGTGCCTAACAGCCGGTTGGTCCATTGCGTCGAGAAGGAACCTGCAGTCTTGTAGAAAATTAACGTACGTTTTGTTATCGCATTTGTCATTTAATAAGGAAATTAATACCTGGCAGTCCGTCTCCACTTATATTTGATTTTTTGTGAAACGAGTTCCAAACCTTTGAGTAGTGCAATTATTTTTGCATGTATTGGCGATGAGGCCACTATATATGTGGCTAGAGAATCCATCAATCTAGTTTCCATGGGAATCAAGATTTTTATTTACGTTTTGCATGTACACGCTCTAATTTAATGTTGAACCATGTTTTTGTTGTTGCAAAAATATACAATATAATCGAATGACTCAGAATACGTAATTTTTAATTATACACCGTATTGTCTGAATGAGGCATGCTATAAGAGTGCATATATTTGAAATTTTTTTACAGAAACCCTTTAATATATAACTTGAAATATTTAAAGTGAATATATATGGTTAATGGACGCATCGATATACATTTGAGAAAAATACATTTAAATTTTTCTTAATTGTATTTTTCATACGTAGTAAAGCTAGTAGAGAGTGGAGCAAGTGTCCAAGCTCTCAAGTCCACAAATTCCAGAGGGAAGACCAGTGATGTTGCTTAATCACGTATTAACCAACACTCGAATTCGTCCTCCAATATGAAATCGCGTTTATTAAAGAGCGCTTTATCTTCAATGTGAGATTTGTTGGCACTGGAAATCATATGGAAACCGAGGAAAAACGTATTAACCAACTCGTTTAGCAGAACATAATTGTTATTTATTACTACTTAATATGCTTAATGGTTACTTAAATGAAACATTTTTTATGCTAATCATAACCTTAAAAGGAAATTACCACATTAAATTAACCACGCCTTCTAGATAGTGCCTTAATATAGTATCTGCCAACCTCTTCATTAAGCGATAATAATAAAATATTTTTAAGAGTCAAAAAGCAAACTACTACTACTACTTCTTCTTAAAACGTGTGGCTGTAGTTTCTTAGTGGATCGTTCAACACTCTTAGAATTTAGAAAAAGATAATATCACTAACATATTAATAAAACAACGTTAATTTATCACTAAGTGGAGATCTCTCTATTTTATTACGCATAATATTTTATA